TAAGGCCAAGTGGTTTTAATGTTTTTRTTGACTTAAGGTCTTTCTCAGGGRCTGCAGTATTTTCTTTCTTTCGCTTTTGCCKCATAAACATTTYTAGAAYCTGAAAACCATGCATGCTAATTACGTTCCCTTATAAATTTCCCGCGTGAAACAGAATTTTCTACTCTCTTACAAAATCTGYAATTCCATYGTTTTCTTTTKTGACAATATTTTGACTATTCAGGACMATTTTWATGGTTCCATTGTCTTGCTAATTTTAAACTGTCACACGAAACGGTGAAAATGTTAGAAATCTACTAGTGTAAGGTCATTAGACCCGTGAAACAAAATTTGACTATCAAAGTAACATAGTCGATCAAGTAGACGGAAAAGAAAACAAAGCAATTAAAGCGTGCTAAAGTGTAATAGTGAAATATMTATTTCACGGGTTTTCTGACTTCACTCTAGTTAAAAAGTAGGACTGTATATATTTCCTTAAACCGTGAAATACATGCTAGACTCCTAACTAGTTAACATCTTGCTTCACTCTGTAGAAGCCTAATAACTACTTATAACAGTTTCCATCAAAATTCAGCAATTGTGCAAGGAATTACTTCATCAGTTTTATGTGGGTGGGTCTCACGTAGTACAAGACCTAAGAACTCAAAGAGAGTCTCAATGTCGAAAGATTAATCTGAACACAATAGAAATAAAACTATACAAAGATGAGTCACAGCTAAACTATGTGCTCGGCAATCTAAGATCTTCAACAAGAAACCATCTTGTCTATTCCTTCCATTCGAAGGAGCCGAAAAGGCGTGTGAATTTAGCCGGATAAAAATGTTGGCAAAATGTTCGCCATCTTACTTGTTTGTAATAATATCATTTAATATCAAATAATATCATTTTAAAATGTACCGTAAACTTGTATTCTTAAGATTTCTTTGGCTTGTTGCATCGAGTTCATTGTCATTGATGCCACAAAATCTTTGCTCATTTTTCACGTTGTTGTTGTCTTCGCTGCTRTTTTTAAGGGGAAAAAGGGGGTTAAACTTAAGTTTATTTCTGTTGCCAGTCTGTTTGAGAAGAAAGCAGCATTTTCTTAAAGTTTAGTCTGAGCCGAGAAGGTCAAAAATGGCCAAGAGTCTGTACAATCCGTTCTTGACTTGGCATACAACGCAACAGGGTGGGAACTAGCGGTAAACWAGTGTAAGCTGCGTCGGTGTTTCTAAACAAACAGTTATGTAAAAAGATAAATTTGACACCGTAAGTAGGTGAAACAACTTACAAACGTTTCGGGCGTTAATCCTTGCGTTGGAGTCATAGACAAGAGGTCTATATCGGAAGGTAAAAGTAAGGCTCCAGAATTCTTACCRCTCGGCCTTGCCTTATCCTACACAAGGATTCTTCATTCCTCTTCACTGATTCATCCTAGAAAAGTAAGTATTGCTTGTTTTAAGCGCTCATTGTCTCCTGGTTGCGATTTAAACACTTTTTTATCCGCTTTTGAATTCTTGACCTTTGAATCGCGAGCGCGTGTTTGTACTGAGTTTTTTCATCGCGATTCGTCAATTATTGTTAAGAAATCGTCTGCACAACGCAGTTTTCTTCTTCATCTCTGACTTATATAATGATCATCATGCAACAACTTGCCAGCAAATTAATTTTTATTATCTTTAAGAAGTCTACCTKCGATGACAATTTTTTTCCTGCGGAAGTTTCAAAACATCCCAAAGAGGAACTCGATGTGAGGGTCAAGTGTTCTYTTTTTGGTGTAAATTTGTCTATGACTGGCTGCTGTTGACAGAAGCCTGTACAGATTTCTCCATGCAAATGATGAATATAATGGCAGTTTAGCAAAGTGTAGAAAAGCTTTAAGATCGATAACTGAACTTGACGGAGTCTCGCGATCTGCCCCTAAGCGCGCAGACGTGATATCTACAGGAAAGCTATTTCGGTAGTATTATAGTTTGTGTGTCTAAATGGGGAACAGTTAGACTTGACCCTTTAATTTACCTCATAATCAAGGTATGAATGAGTCTAAATAAGTTCTCCTTGATGAAGCGAACCATGCAGAACAGGACCACACAAAGAGTAGAAACGATTAGATCACCCCACCTGCACTCCAGCAAACAGCATGTGTGGTCTTGAACCCCTCCAATTACGACCACATGGTCGGTCATGGGGGCTCCTTGTGCGAAGAGCCAGTTAATATATGAATTTTAGGAATGATAAAAGYACCGTTCTAACCCCTCTATTCCGACCATGCGTTCGCTCAAAAGGGGGTTCCGTATGAGCATGCACACTAATACACCTAGCCTGTGTACATCCGTTTCTCACCCCTCCAAAAAAACGGATGTACACAGGCTATAATACACCTTCATTCCTACCATCCATCTGGTCGGTGTTAATCGACTACAGGATTGCATAAAAATCCATGAAATTTAGCCAAAGCCAGTATCAAATCTTTCACAAAGAAATACATGAAACTTTTAAGATAAGAGCAATAAAGGATTTACGACTTAGAATGACAGATGATCCACAACAATCAATGGATTAACTAACGACAATTCAGGTATTCAAGTCCCCCTAGTCCCCTTTCCAAGTCCTTGCGTTTTGAACCTTATTTGCGGTCAGGATTGGGTTGGTGCCAGCGTTGTCTCAATGCAGTCAAGTGTTATGGTATTTTGATTGATTCGACTGACAACGTTTCTGTTTACATTGGCTTTCAATAAAAAAAATATTAAATATAGACGCTTGAAAGGTTATCAAAAGTCACAGACTTTCTCTGTTGGGGGGAAAAAGCAGTTGGGTGACTCTTGGCCACTCAGTATGTGAATTTTGTGGACTTTGTCGAGTGCGTTTATAAAATTTATGTTTTGTAACATCGTGCAGCTGGGACTTTTGATAAGCATATCGAGAAATACGTCGTATTGTATGGATAAAATTGAGCAACGCGTCAATAGTATTAAATCGTGTCATATCACATGACAAAAAAACATGAGCAACAGTTTCTTTTTAGAGGAGGAAAGAACTAAACGTAAATTAGATCCCACATCCCAYAATCTTTTCGCCATTTCTCCCTCGCTTTTGTGACGAAAAGCCTTATGGGACATCTCGTCACTATGTCATCGTTGAGTGAACGAACTGTAACTATCCACTTGTAGCAGGCGTTCCTTGCGAGTCCTTGATATGTTTTAAAGAGAAAATCTATAGAGGAAAAAAACAACAGTAAAGAAAAAGAAAAAAGAAAAAAAGAAAGAAAAAACAAACAAACAAGAAATCAAAGAAAAAGAAAAAAAAAGAAACAAGAAAAAATAGAGAAATTCCAGCAGCAGGATTCGAACTAAGGACTGTCACTTTAGAGAAAGATGCACCCCCCCCGGAATACATAAGAAATAAGTGAAAATAAAAAACTAAAAAGATGGGACGATTCCCCCGAGACATTCTATGAAGCTGAGGCGGCGAATCGGCTTACGTTACGGTTAGAGATTTCGGCCCTTCCACGCTATCCCGAGTGAACATAAAACTTAGTCTTAACCAAAAGGCCAGGGAGTGAGGGGGTAGCCGCCCACTAGAGCATACCTTTAGCTACCCTCTTAGACCATCGTACTATGAAGACACTTAAGATATCTAATGTCTAATTGGGGTAGTCTATTCGGCGAAGTTCTATGCTAATATATGACGTCACCAAAATCCTTAGGGAGCWGCGAGCCAATCAKAGCTCAGCTCATTGGGGTAGTCTATTCGGTGAAATTCTATGCTAATATATGACGTTACGGAAATCCTTAGGGAGCAGCGAGCCAATCAGAGCTCAGCTCAGAGTTTGCATAATCATTCTTCAGTGTATACGTTTTTTGATGGGGGTGGGGATGGGTGCTGAGGTTGCCTTTGCGGCTGAATCCCGATGTACTCGATGTATTGTGACGCCTTTCACCGAGCTGTTCTATTGTCGGTATTGTTTTCCAAATCATCACAGGCAAAGGTRTATGTACAGTTCTTATATCAGACAGACATCACAAGTATTCGGGTGAACACCAAGACAAAAATACAGACCCGGCACGGATACTCAGTAGCTGTTGCCAAAGATTTGCCGGGATTTAACGCGGCTATTAAATACCTCTGAAACTCCGGCAACATTACACTCGAACGTTCCACATTTTCGTTCTTTATGATATGAAAGTTTACAAATTGGTTAATATTWATTATCGAATGTAAATATAGTGAATGTTAACAATTGAAGAGCGGGGAGGATGAATGACTAATCCGTACTAAAGAAATTAATAAAGAATCAGGATAAAAAGAGTTGACAGTCTTTAGATTTTATTGCAAAACTATAATCAGGCGAATTACAGTAAATGATATAAACATTTTATCAAAGAAAATATGTTCGAGAAATTGATCATCAGTTTATAAGTCAACAGATCATTAAAGCTCTAAGGAATCCATGTCCTTTTTCTAAATCTTTCAGATGGATATGTTAACTGGGCGCCCTGCGTCAGGCCCCCACGGGAGGAATGATCAACTATCACAATAGGTTCCTTGGCCCCTGGGAATCGGATATTTATAGGCCACGTTCCATTCCTTGCAGCGTATACAGATAATTCAGAAAACGTTGTATACTGAAAATAGTGTATTCGAACTTACTAAATCTCTTAATGGCYTGAGTCACATGCAGTCCTCGACTGCCTATTTTTGCTATAGGAGCAGGTCAAGTTTCAGGAGCGGCCTCAGTCACCTTCTGTCAGTTGCACATTCTTGTGTTCACTTCGGCGCTCAATAACTCGGACTTTCTTAAAAAAAATCAAAATATTATTTTGGTATTTAAGAGCTTAATGAAACCCATATCCATCGGGATATTTATGTAGAGAAAGCAGAACTCGACTGAAATCGTCGTATGGACTTACGTTGCATTTAATAGRGTTTTTGGGCTCCCTGTGTCGTCTCCCAAACGAGGCTTCACTTTTCGGCGCCATGATTTGCATGTTGATRATGTTGATCACTCAAARACTGTGAAATCCATGGCCGAAGAMGATGAATCCTGGCAAGAATTCTTTGATAATAACAGACTTATTCTTCCTCATCCTTCAAAGAGAGAGGTAGAAGGACAAAAACAAGCAAATAATGGATTTTGCTTGACGATCAAGAATGCAGAAGGAGTTCGGCTGCCYCAATCYCTCACAAACGTAAGGAGACRTAAGCTTTAAAAGCGATAAATAACKRGTTGTTTTGTCCATAACTCCTTAGGTTTGGYTCTGAAATATTCACACTTACGTTGCCTTCTAAAATAATCGTATTAAGTAYAATATAAGTTGTATAAGATAAATTATTTTAGCTGTATTTTTGTGCTATCTAGCAAAAGACGTGACAATATCTCAAGTGAAGCTTTTGGAAACTAATGGCAACAAGACACAATTTAGAGCCGACAATTTACAATTTTTGTGCAAGAAATTTCTCGTAAGGCTCGGATTAACTGCGAATCTCTATATATAAAAGTTAATTCGCTTTTCTGTTTTGTGTGCTTTACGTTATGTATTTCTGTTTGTTTTCCAAACATAGGAAACAGCTGTTGCAGTTCAACGAGGACGTAATGTTTATAACTGTTCAAAAATCAATTCAATTCATTTTCTAACTCCATTGATCTTACGATTTACATATCTGAAGTTGTACATTTTGTTTGAAACATCTAGAAAATTTCTTGTAAAATAATATAGTATTTAGAAATTGCTTTTTAAATTTCTTTTCCTTTCAGATTGAGGATCCTCAAGAGGTTGAGTTCCAACTAAGAATAACATTCTTCGATACCGTCAATAAGTATTTCTATGGTAGCACTTGGCTTGGTCCAGTTGTACCCCCTCTGAAATCTGAAAACGACAGGTTTACTCTAGATTGCGATGAGGTGAATGATAGTGTTATCATTCATGTGCAATTTGTCCTGATTTATAATATGACTTTTTATTATTTTTTTCAGGCTCTATATTTTCATTCATCACTAAATGATTATACTTGTGTGGTGGCAATTGAAGTAATTGCATTTGGTAAGCAATTCACGACTTTCAAAAATAGCACGATGTGTCACGGTCGCCGACCAGGGCACTGGGGACGAAGCACTAAAACGAGGTCTCAAAGGCCAGCCTCCGTATAGTGAGCTTCCATGGTGYCTTGCAAGAGTGTTTTGTTATAAATAACATACCAATACATCTTTCAAACTTTTGGACACTGCCTACATACGATCTTCGTGGTGATTTCTTGATGGAAGGTCTTTGAGGTCTCGTTTCCATGATTCGTCACTAGTCCCCAATATAGGCGGACGTGAACTGGCACCATTTTTGAAAGTCGTATAACATCAAAACTTGCGTCATGAAGTGTAGTTTCCTATCCAGCGCTGTTTTTGTTGGGATTCCTGTGTTCTTCCCACAAAMATAAGATGGTTCTCTAAGCTAGACAACACAGACTAACTCAACATTTGTTTTTCAGGCAAGAATAATCAAGGATATAGCCTAGGGTGGACTTTTATTCGAATATTTGACAGATTAGATGACTTGCGGGATATTTCTAYTCCACCAAGAATTCAAAGGTACCCAGATGGGACTGTCATGTCTGGTCAATTTATTGGTCATGTTGCAATCTTCTTTCACTCGATTGATCATAAATAAATAAATGATCCATTCCCATAAATCCTTCATCCATGTATTATTTATTTAACCATGTCACTCTCTCCTTTCTTCCCTTTCCCTCCTTTATTCATTCCGTCATCCTTCTCATTCCCTCCCTTCCTCTCTTCTTCTTTCACTCTCTCCATTCCTTCCTTCCGCCTGACCTTCCATCTGTCCTTGCTTCCGTTCTTCATTTCTTACTCCTTCATTCCTCCCTTCCTTCCTTTTTTCCTTCTTCCATCCATCCATCTATCCATCCATCCATCCACATAATCATGCATCCATTACATTATTCACTGCTATCATTTCCAGGCAGCCGCTATACCATGGTTCATTAGGGGTGCTTCTATATCTTCCTACACAAGATGGGCTCGAAGGTAAAGCTACCAAGGTTACATATAAATTATGTCTTGTAAAATTATTACTTGGTAGCAATGTACATGTTGCAAAGGTGTACATGTACATAACCTGGCTGTAATGTGGTTAAATTTTTGTTCTAAAACCTTTTTTTTAGATTACATTGATAACCAAAGAGTGGATGGTTGCTTTGTTGGKTACTCTCTTCAAAGTCACYCCTTGTTGGACAAAGTCTTACACCTTATGCCAGAGAATGTGTTGATTGGTGGGGATGACATAGTTCCTGGAATTTCAGAGTCCAATGTAGATGGTAAAAAAAAACTTGAAATACCATTACACAGATTTTTTCTGTTCTAGTGAGTTATAATCAGAACTTTTTAGGGGAATTGATACAAGAATTCTATTTTTTCAAAGATTCTGGCATGATTGACATTCTAAGGAAACCRAAACTTCTGAAAACGTTTCCATGCTTCATTAACAAGGTGGGTGTGATAAAACCAACATRCCGTAGTTAATAACAGCAACATCCACTACAAGTATAATTATTGTAATTATGGTAGACTAGAGTGCAGAAAACCTAAACCCATTTACATGTAGCATAAACAGTCAAAATAAATGCTAAACATTCTAATCCCTTTGTWTTTTATTATTTAATCAATACTATTTTAAAGTAGAAAATAGTGCTAGAGTTGTTTTGATTTAACCGTAAAAGATTAGTGAGTAGTTTGTATCACATTTCTGAATCTATTGTTTTCTTTTGTTCTTTACTAAGTGAATACACTAACTTAATAGTAATCTTCATTGCACCATCAAATGACTCATTTCATGCATTAAGTGTATCTGAAGAATCAAGAAATGAGTGAATGAATAACTAAATGAATTAATTTATTTATTGCTTCACAGCTGAGTGTGTATTTAGAACCATCAGTTGAAGAATTTGAGGAGCATTTACTAGAAAAACTAAATCAAGACAGATTGCACAGGGTAAAACTAAAAGAAATCTTAGATCACGACATTATAAGTATYCTTCATAACWTGKTCTGTTTTATTCTGTTTTATTGATYTTACAGAGCAATATTTCTCCTGATGACGGTCTGATGGTCACTATTGTAGAAAGAAGGTTAAAGGTAAGTAATAATGTATCAATCAATGAATTAATAGTCAATAAATCAATGAATCAGATG